GCTGTCCGTACCACAACTTGCTTGTCATGGTCATGCGATTCAAGTTGACCTTTTGTTGTTTTTTGATATGAAGCATAGGAATGCAGTCACCTTGACGACAGTCTTGTTGAAATTATAGGAGAATTTTCAGACTGACGTAAAGCGAAAATATGATAATTGTTAAAAAAAGTGTGTCAGAACTGCTGTAGAAAGGCATAGACCAGCTGCTTTGGTAGGTAACTTTTCCAAAGCCTTGGAGTACTTATTGTACGGTTCTATATGTTAGTGTCAGTAATAGTAGATCACCTTTTTAACACTATTTTGTGAACGGGAGATCCACGGCTAACCTAATTTGTTTTTCCCAATTTATTTCTGAATCCCGGGATGCTGAAGTGTAAACGGATGTCATTTAAACAGGTATTATTAAAACATTCGATAGGATTGTCCATAATCTGCTACTAGCAAAACTGGATGGAATGGGCTTTTCAGATGATTTAGTAAACCTTTTGAAACCCTATCTGCCCGACCGTAAGTTGTTATTGGAATTCGAGGGATCCGAATCTCAAAATCTTTCTCCAACATTAGGTGTTCCACAGGGATCATCGTTAGGACCACATCTTTCATTATATTTATCAACAACATTGCTGATGTCTGCTATATGCAGATGATCTGAAAATTTATATTCAAGTTGGCAACAGAACTGATTGCGATCGTCTCCAAAATAATCTTAACTAGATAATAATTTGGTGTGTTGATAATAACCTATCCATGAATGCATCCAATAATAACACTGAGAGAGAATTTGAATATCTTGGAATCATCTTTGACACAACTTTCAGCTTCAACTGGCATATAAATAATCTTCTAAATTCTGTAAATAAAAGTCTGGTTTTTGTGGTCGTCTGTCCGCTCAATGAATGTGCGGTTGCAAAACCGGGTACGAGCTGAGTTAAAGATCGGCTTGCGCAGTGTACAGAGAAATAAATTAGCATTCGCACATGATACCGGCCAATCTGTTTAATTATTTTATATGACGCTGTGACATAACCGCCGAAAACGATATATAAATATATAAATTATATAATTTAAATCATTGGATCCCTCTATTGGTATTAATCATGTGGAATTATTTGAATTCCATCAACATACAGATTGCCTTAACGTTGTTCAAGTTCTTGATAATATTTTGCTCCAGAATTCCGAATGTGCATCGCTCCACTCAAAACACCAGCCCCTCAAAATACAGGTATCACTGTACGCAGAACAATGTAGCATCGATGTAGTATAACAGTAATGCATTAGTGCATAGTACACTGGGCACATTAAACAATTTCATTTTATGTGCGTTTCAGAGTACTTCACACCGCTATAAAATTAATGCATATATACAAATAAATGAAATAACCCAAAATGTAATTCCCTACAAATTTAGCATAACACGGGAAATATTGTTAATATAATATGATGAAGCGCTGTTCTATGTTGCGGTTAGATATTCGTATGATTGTGTTATATACATTTCAATGAACTAGATTTGGAATGCTTTTGGGAAGAGCTGATTCTGCTGTCGACAGATACCGGCCGCTATATTAGAATTTTTTACATTTAAATGGACTTGACTACGAACTTGTTACTGGAAATGAAGAGGTATGGTGAAACCTAAACACAAAATGCATATTTTATTGATGGTGATAATAATAATAAATAGGCAGAGGTGAATCATAGCAGATGTTCAAAATGTTGTCAGCCATTTTGTAGGCCAAGCCTGACTCTTATCTGTACATTGTTGACTACTCGATTTACTCGACTAGAAGAAGAACATTTTTTTTTTATTAAACTCTCTTGCCGTCTTCAAGTCTAGGTCTGGTCCGGTATACGAAACAAATGTAAATCTGATAACCTAGCAACTTCTGTTTTTCTGGAATCGCAAATGTCGATGTGTGACATATTATACATCTTTCAAATCAAAATTAAAAACTCTACTCATCTGCGCAAAAATCCAATATCGCGCCCATAAAAAAAAATAAAGTTGATGCTGGAGGACAAGGGACGTCATATTGAAATTTTAAATAAGCCATCTTGTAGAGGAGGAAAAGTGGCAATCTAGTGTGCAATTTTTTTTGAAATCCCACTACAAATAAAGTCAGGAAAAAAATTGAAAAGATTTTGTTTCGATTTTTTCTCTCTCCGGAAGGACTCGATTACTTAAATACGCAACGTTGCCCCTATTTATGCGACCGTATCACAGTTTCCGGGATCCCAATAGTGAAGGTCGAATTTGAAACACCGTGTATGCGGTGTACAAAAAAAAAACACTTTTCATCACAGTATTACAAAAAAAAGAAAGTTGCGTATCATCTGCATACCTTGTGGTACTCCGTTTAAACAAATTCGGTCATTCGCCCCAAACCTCAAGTTGGAAACTGTTTTAACGCAGAGTGTGTAATGGATATATTTTTTTTCTCCAATCCAACCTTCTTGAATGTTCATCGGCAATAGTGCAGTAGATTCACTCTCAGTGGCGAAACTGGAAAGAAGAAGATAATAATCAATAGACAAAATTAAGAAAGGAATTTGGTTGAAAAGGTGGACAGATGACTCTATAAAGAATGTAAAAGGTGGAAATTTGTAACTGGTGATGATGGCCCGAGTTGTCATATCATGTTGTTCTTTAAAACTTTTTGCCAAAATGTTCAAATGTACTCGAAGTTCTAAAATGACCGAAGGTACAGTCAGAACAAGAAATGATGAATTCAAATATTATCCTTCCACTATGAAAACAAAGTTTGAGCGATTTTTATTTTTTGTCTCTGGTATAATAGCAAGCTTGTGTCAGAGAGACAGACAGGCAGACCGATAGACAGATGAAAATGGCATGGATATTCGGTTGTAGGTCATCCATCCAAAAAGGCACATTATCCCATTTAGAAACACTTCCTCGCTCAGTGGGGTAGGAAGTAAAAAACATATTTCATTGAATAATGGCATATTATGCTTATGGCAAATCAGAAAAATAATCGATAAGGCTGTTCTATTGTTTTGAAATTTCATAACCAAACATATTTTAAATCTAAATGAACTAAATTCGAACTAGTTAAATGGGTTCACCTACACTAATTTAACAAATCTAACTGATACAATTAAGCGATTTTATTCGTAGCAGATGAACTCATTTTAGTAGTTCATGGATTTTAAATCAATCTTATATAGATACATATTCAAGAAAACAGTTTATTGCCTCTGATTTCATTATTACGTTTTGATTCAAGGAAACTGGTTTTAGAAATGATAGTTTACTAAAACTAAATGTTTTGGATAGCTGTTGCTCTCTTAATTAATTTTTTTCATTACTTCACTTAGTTATATTTAACTATTTTCGCAGTATTCCTGATACAACATTGTTTTGTTCCAGGAGCAATTGAGCTGACGAACCGCCACTGGTGGGCCATTACGACAGTACTCTTGGTTGTAGCTGCAGCTGGAGTCGGTGTACCCTTAGCCTTAAAAATCAGTTCAAGTGCCTCCTTCGAAGAACGCGTCGAGTTCGCCACTAGGTAAATACCACAATATATTATCGTTGACACTGGACCAGATCAGCTAGACCAGAGTTCCACAAAGTTTTTTGTGTCGTAGACCCCTTGCCATGTTTTTCCGTTTGGGTAGACCCCCTACTTACCTGATATTGATTTCCTGTGAATTTCTAACTGTAGTGAAGTTTAGTGTTAAAAACTTAAAGTAAAAACACATGTTAATTTATACATTTATAAATTGAATTTAAATTAAAACTACTCAAAATAGATTTTGTATCTGTTATGTAAAATATACCTAATATTAAATAAACAGGTGTCTGACCCGCATTGGGAATAAGTGCCCGCATTGAAAAAAAATAAGAGGGATAAAATAAAAAAAAAAGTGAAAAATAATAAAAAAAAGTTTTCTACTTAAAATAGTACAATAAGCGAGTTCCTTTATTAATTATAACATAAACGTATGTTCTACAATAATTTCCCTGTTAGTTTGATTAAATTCCGATTCTTATACGTTTAAGTTATCCAAAAATAGGCAAAAAATTAACGAATTTTGGTGTGTACCTATCCTTGAATTTTCAGAGTAATTTTAATAAGCAAAATATTTTCTATAAAGGGGGGTTCTTTAAAAAAATCAAGCGCTGACCACTAGGTATGACGATGGAAAGAAAATTAAAAATTTCCTCGCTATATTCCATAATACGGATAAGTAACGGGTATGTTGTTTTGCAGCCAGAATTGCTGATATCCGTTTTTAAACTGAACCTTAAGTTCTTCGTTTGTACTTAGTTCAGTCAGTTCCTCTTGTATTATGACATTCGCTCCTTCTATGTCACCATATGGATTGATTATCCACGGTGGTATTACCGTAGTCAAAATATCCTCAAACCTAGATTCAAAATCTGAATAGAGGGCATTTAAATGTTAAACGGAAGTTGAAACGTCGTCTTCCTGGCAGCTTGTCTGTGACAAATTGGGGAACTGAGAAAATTCACCCCGTCCAATATGTTGCTTCATTAGTTTAACTCTGGCAAGACACGCTGACAAGATGGACTTTGTTTTAATCAAATTTAAACTGTCGCCTTGTGATTGCAAATTAACCATATTAAATTTTGTAAACAAATCTGTTAAATAGGCGATGTCTGTTTTCCTCTTCATTAAATTTTCTTTTAAAATTTTATCTTTAGTATTCAGAAATTCTAAAATAGTCTCAAAAAGTGCAAAAAATCTTGTCAAACATAAGCCTTTCGACAGCCAGCGTACTTCAGTGTGAAGGAGTAATTGATGAAAGTGTTCGTCATTTTCTTCATACAACTGCGCAAATAACCGCGTATTCAACGCGTTGCTTCGGATTCGGTTTACTGCATCAATGACTAAATGAAGTGGTTCATGCAACCTAACACTCAAATTTTTAGCAACTAAATGTTGTCAGGGGTGTTAACAATACATTGCGTCATCCATTTCGTTTTAAATAGCTTATAAATCCACGATAACGTCCAACCATGGCAGGTGCTCCATCTGTAGCTACTGATATTATATTTGATAAAGGAATTGCTTTTTCAATGAAGTAATCCTTCAAAACATGAAATATTGATTCACCTTTAGTGTCGGTTATCAAAGTTCTTACGAAGAGCAGTTCTTCGTCGATTTCTTGATTCATAATAAAACGAACATATGCCAATAATAATGCTGCATTATCAGGTAAAGTTGACTCGTCCAGTTGTATGGAGAAATGGGTCGTTTGCAAATAATTACATAAGAAGCTTTCAATATCAGAACTCATTTCATCAATACGTCTTTCAACAGTATTGTTGCTTAAGGGAATTCTTTTAATGATATCAAATGTAGGTTTGCGTAAAACAGTTTTTAAAACCTCTTCAACGGCTGGAAAAATTAACTTCTCTCCGATAGTATACGGTTTTCCGGATTTTGCTATAAGTAACGAGATATTGTAAGACGCCCGCAAACCATCATCATTTCTTTGTGACGTCGAAGCGAACATTCTGTCCAGTGTAGGTCTCTTCTGAAATTTATCTTTGAGTGTTTGAAAGTATTTCAAACCTTTTTCTGTTTTATCAGGGTGGCATCTTCTCAGATGATCTTGCAGTTTAGATGGTTTCATAGCGTCATTGCCCAAAACTTTGTTGCATAAAAGGCACATAGGCGATTGTCTGTCCGGCAATGATGGAATGAAGCCAAATTTCAAATAATCAACACTGTACTGTCTACATTTATTTTTAGATTCGGACATGGCATCAGTCACCTGTGGGTAGAATTAAATTATTTAAATAAGACAGAAAATCCAGCAGTTGTATACTAAAAATATTTTTTGATTTTTCCGAAAACATTCCATAATTAGAACATCTTCTTGCAACAATTAGCTCAAATTACGGAGATTGCACTGTAATTATATTACCGAATGCTAAAACTTTCAAAAAGAAATTGCATGATTGAATATTTAACTAAATAACTAAAGTCATGATTGGCGTAATTTATCTATCTTTGCTAACTACGAGTACAAAACTAAAATTTAATAAAGAATAATGTACTTACTTTTCTCCAGCACTCTCAAACAAAATAACACTGACCCAGTAGATGATCTTGAATCAGTAAAATCGCATATCAATTGAAGAAAATAATATAGACATGATTACAAAATCAACAATAGTAATTAAATCATGAATTTTATTCAAAAATCAAACATTTCTTTAAATTTTGACTGAATTATATGTAATTTCTTAATATTCAATAAGCTGATGATGTGTCAATGACAAGATGTCATCTCATACTTTGACAGTATTTTGTTTTCAACATTTCATAGCTATTGGTTGCTAAAATTTGTTGATTGGAACTTGAAGCTCATTCGCTGTATTTAACGGCTGTAACCCTATAGGTGGAGATTAAGGGACTGCTGTTGGTGAAATTGGCCCTTAATGCTCCTCATAGCAACATCGGGCTTTTGCCTGCACGACTGCTTCGGTATAAAAATAAATATGATCCCGTTCAAGTTTCCTGCACATTTCACGTCTAGTGAACATGTCTGTATCATTATGCTACTTTTTTTTATTGCTCCCTATTCAGGACGTCTGTTCGAGTAACAACGTCATTATTGAAATACAGTTTGCTATTCAGGAGGAAAGGATACCTCCTACAACGAGACATGCCAAGAAAATGCACTATATGGGCTTACAATACGAAGAGCTGAAGCATTTCTGATTTAACGAAGCTCAACGGCTATATCGACTGAATAACTGGATATACAAGGTGACAATATTTAGAAATTGGACAGGAGAAAGGTCTATAAGTGGGATGTTTGGCTCTGGGAATGACACATTTCAAGGTCAACACATCTACGAAATTTGTGCAAATAAATATCTTAGAATATGTGTATTTTTACATGCGTTTATTTAACTTGACCTATCTGCTAGTGTAGCATAGATCTTGGAACTGAATTTTGAACCAGTTATCCTTAACCAATTGAGCTGAAATTTTGTATACACATTTTCCGCCATTTTCAATACAATATGGCGGATGCTATGAAATGGCGATTTATCATTTCCATACTAACCCCTATGGTAAGGGTGTCAAATTGATGGACTTGATGAGAAATGTGGTGACGTCATTATAAGCCCAATATGGTGCCCGCCAAAAAATGGCGTTTTAAGCTTTTCATAGATATGGGGATAAAATGGAACGGCTTGATGAGAGAAACGCAATAAGCACGGTGAGCTCATTCTAAGTCCAATATGGCGACCGCATTAAGGTGACGTTCATAATTACCACAGTCATTGATATAGGTATCAAATTGGTCTTGATGAGACAAGCACAAGCAACGTGACGTCATCCTAAATTCAGTATGTTGACTGCCCCAAGCTATCGTTTGTAATCACCATAATCACCCTTATGCATAGATATCAAATTAAAGCGCCTGATGAGAAAAATACAAGAAGCAATGCGAGGATATCCTAAATCCAATATGGTGGCTGCAGCAAATTGGCGATTTATGATTTCCATAGTCACCCCGACAACACAGGTATCAAATCAAAGGGCTTGATAAGAGGAACAAAAAAAAACAAACAATATCCAATATGGTAGCTGCCCCTTAATGACGAGTTAAACTTTCCATGGTCACCGCTATAATATGGGCATCAAGTGAGAGAGCTTAATCAGAGAAACATAAAATGAGCAAAAGCTCATACAAAATTCCGTATGACGATCGTCACAAAATATCGATCTCGTATAATTATCTGTATCAAACGAAATTTTGTAAATCAAATAAAGTAATAACTTTTATGGAGACATACTGAGTGTCAAATAAAGGTTAACACCTACGCAGTGTTATTAGAATGCAGAATTTGTCACTCGTACATACCGATTTATCTTGCCATGAGGAACAAGTGATAAGATGGTCAGGTTTCTCTGTTAAGTTTTTGTGGTGACTGCGTGTATTGTTTGGTGATAAAGAAGAGGTCGCAGGCTCCACGGACTTTAGTAGCTTTTACTCAAGAAGTTGCAGTAGCCTGGAATGAGGTACCCCAACAGGATATCGACCACCATATCAGCACGACGCCCAGGCGTGTCAATGAGTGTATAAGGAATCGTAGGTCCTCAACACATTATTGAACCAGCTTCTGCAGTCAGTTGATGAATCAGGCTGAAAATTTAATTATTTCACTAGTAAGGGACACTGAACATACGAGTACAAGGTTTGTCCGGAAAGTAATAGGACTCATTTTCTTCCGCCATGACTGGATTCGGTAGAGGGCGTTCCTAGCTAACGAATGAGCGGTTGATCAGTTGTCTCTGAGCACTTGGAGAGCCGGTACAGGCATTTTCGCGCGACGTATTTCTGTGAGTGGTGCAAGCCGAAAATGCAGCGTTCGTTAGAGCATAGGTACGCGATTAAATTCTGTGTGAAACTCGGTAAATCTGCGACAGAGACGTTTGATATGATCAAGTAGGCTTACCCAGGTGTTGCTTTAGCAAGAAGTGGTGTGTTTCGGTGGCACCGGGCCTTTTTGGAGGGCCAGAAAGAGGTCGCTGATGAAGACCGTTCTGGAAGGCCTTCGACTTCGACAAACACCGATAATGTGACTCGTGTGCGCAAAGTTTTGAACTCAGACCATCGACTACGTATTCGCTTAATTGCCCAAATGTTAAATTTATCAAAATCTGTGGTTCATGATATTGTGACACAGCATTTGAACATGCGCAAGGTGTGCGCGGAGATGGTCCCAAAAGTACTCACTGACGACCAGAAATTGCTGCGAGTGGAAGTGTGCCAAGAAAATTCGAACATGTGTGAAAGTGACCCCCAACTTTTGAATAACGTAATCACAGCTGACGAGTCGTGGATCTTTGAGTATAATCCCGAGACAAAGAGGCAATCTTCCGAGTGGCAAACGACGGCGTCTCCTCGCCGAAAAAAAGGCAGAATGAGCAAATCCAAAGTGAAAACGATGCTCATTGTCTTTTTTGACGTCAACGCCAAGTTTTACGTGTAAGTGCTCAGGAGACTCAAACGAAGGGTCAGTCGGGTCCGACAAGACATCGCAGCCGACTGGATGTTGCACCACGACAACGCCCCGGCTCACACCGCCTTTCTTGTGAACAGCTACCTGACCAAGGCCAGCATCCCAACACTTCCGCAGCCGCCCTACAGCCCAGATGTGGTCCCCCTGGACTTTTTTTTGTTTCCTCGCCTGAAAAGGCCGATGAAAGGCAAGCATTTTGAGACGACAGAGGGGATCCAAGCAGCATGCACCGCGGCTCTGAAGGCTATTCCGGAGAATGCCTTCCGTGACGCCTTCAATGCTTGGAAATCGCGCTGGCAGCGCTGCATCGACGCAGAAGGAGCCTATTTTGAAAGTTTTTAAAGAATTGTAACGATTGGCTCAATAACTTTTTTAAATCGTCTCAGTCCTATTACTTTCCGGACAAACCCTGTATATGCCAAAAATTATTAAAATCGAATAAACATACGTAGGTGTTTACCTGTTTTTGTGACTCGCAATAAAATGTATTGAAATTATATAGCAACTACCAAACCAGTTATTTGACATCATAAATACTAAAAAGTAAAAAATGAAGAAAATAAGAAAGATGTTACTAGAAACAAAGGTGGTAATGACACGAAACAAGAATTCAAAAATAATGTTTTCCAATTGGAGATATTCAAACGATAATGATGCTCCTTTATCTCAAGTTTTCAAGCAAAAGCGTGTTACGTTTTGGGACCAGGATGCCACAAGAGTGTAACATGCTTTGATTTGAAAATGTACAACGGAGGAGCTTCATTCGTTTGAATATTCCCAATCGGTTTTTCTTTAATTTGAATTAGTTTGTTTATCAGCTAGTTAAGAGCTTATTTTTAAAAATGTACATATTGGTATATATTTTCGTAATTTTTCGTGTTTACAATACCTCTCCAGTGCCGCGGGCAGTAAAAGTAGATCAATCATTATAAACATCTATGTTACGTCGTTCAGAGCCATAAGAGAAAAAAGAAAATATAACGTGTAACTAATATGGGAACGCACATTTTTTGTAAATACTATCTTCAAGATTTTGCCGCCTCAGTGAGTATTTTCCTACTTCATTTCATAAAAATGTTGGGGATCACTCATCCAAAAATTCTTGAAGGTGTCCATGATGATAGTCAAATAGTCGGTAACACCAAGATTACTGATCACTGTCGCATATGACCAGACGACTTCTCTGCTCAAATGACGTTTGCTACTGTTATTGCCAATCACATGGTGGAGATTCAACCTACTTCGAGAAAGACAATTTTGTTATACAATGTGTTTCCAAAACGTCCAGTAGCGTGAACTGTAATAAGTAACCCTGTGGATATCAAACAGAAGCAGATAATCGCTGGTTTGTATACATTATCTATAGTCATTAATTATTAAATACCAGCATATTCGTTATATAAAATATTCACGTAATATGCCACTAACGTTGTGGCCGTTAATATCTATAATTCGTGCTCATAGTAACTTTTTTGCC